TTACACAAAGGCAAGCAGAGATTCCCCAGCCTCCAGAATACACACACAAACATCTTATTCCACTTTTTAACAGTTTAACTAGTTAAACTGGAACAGATTAAAACATACCATTTTTGCTGTCTGTCTGCACTTTATATGGATGTCTTCAGCTTTTGGCACTCTTTCCCGGCTGAAGAATTTTAAAATATTATTACTTCTATAACTGAATATCTACTATACTACCAAATATTACTTGCTAACAAACTGAGAATGACAGGAGGTGGAGGAATTTGCCAAAAAAAAACATTTTAGCAAAAAAGTAAGAAAAACAATGAACAGATTTTACTACACATAAAACTTAATTATTGGAAAATTGTCAGAAAAACATGGTGAGCAGCCCTCTCCACCGTCATCACAGCTTTCCTTGTGAATGTAAGGAAGTATTAACAACTTTTCAACATTTCTCTGCATCACACGTTGGCCAAGGTGGTTTGCAAGACAAAACTCATCTGTTAGGATGCTAAATCACTGAAGCTTGTTTACTTGTTAACGCTAGCTTTATGTTTTTTTTTAAATTTGACAGACATTTCAAAGTGCATGTACAAACCAAGTGCATATAACTATACAGAGAACTCAAGGAATGTATAGGTATATAGCTAAGAAGACAGTGAGTGAATTCAGCTAATGCATTGACTGCAGTTCTTCCTGTAATCAGTCCTGAAGTCTTAAATGAAATTAAAGTCTTCCAGATAACTGCATAAGGGCTCGCAGTTAATAAGCAAACTCTTTGGGATTCCTTTCACAGATGGTGGGGAAAAAACTGAGCAGAGCAAAGAGCCAGAACCAACTCCAGCTGCAGAAGAAGAAAAGAAGGAGCAGCCAGAGGACAAGAAGGTACTCTCCAACCATGTCCTGGTGGCTTTCAAAAAGCCCAGAAGTCAGTCTTTGATTCCTGTCTATGTAAGAGTCAATGCACAGATCAATGATACAACTTGTGGGCACCTGCTTCCTTAGGATGGTTTGACTTTTGTTTCTTTTTATCATATTTTTTTAATTGCGGTATCTTTCCTACTTCAGGAAGATGTACCAGCAAAAGATGATGGGTCAGAAGAGTCAGACGACTCTGAGAGCGACGAAGAGGACAGCGATGATGAAAGTGATGAGTCCAGTGAAGATGAGGATGATGATGAGGATGAAGACGAAGAAGAAGATGAAAAAGACGATGAACCTCTGTCTTTAGAATGGCCAGATACACGTCGAAAGCAAGCAACCTACCTCTTCCTGTTGCCCATAGTTTTCCCTCTGTGGCTTACCGTCCCAGATGTTCGCAACCCGGTGAGAGATACCATAATATTTCTGATATCAGCTGTGGTAATTTAAATCATGCTGCATTTTGCTTTTCCATAACTCACTTTGTCCTATAGAAATCCAGAAAATTCTTTGTTGTCACCTTCCTGGGCTCTATTCTGTGGATTGCTATCTTCTCGTACCTCATGGTGTGGTGGGCCCATCAGGTCAGTTACTTTAGATGCAAATGCTCTGCTTTGTTTCCTGTTGATGTGCATTGACACACAGTATCGCTTAAAAGATCTGTGTAAACTAAAAGCTGAGCACCTAAAAACCTTGTTCATCTTCCTAGGTGGGTGAGACTATTGGCATCTCAGAGGAAATTATGGGCCTGACTATCCTGGCTGCGGGGACCTCCATCCCTGACCTCATTACCAGTGTGATTGTGGCTCGTAAAGGCCTGGGAGACATGGCTGTGTCTAGCTCTGTGGGCAGTAACATCTTTGACATCACTGTGGGGTGAGCCTCTATAGCTGGATCGTCATCAATTTCGTTTTTAAAGCTGCTTAACACAAACTTTAATAATTCCTTTCTCTCCCTTTTCTTTATGTTTTTTCACTATCATTTTATTCAAAAGTCTCCCAGTCCCTTGGCTCCTGTACTCAGCCATCCATAGTTTTGGTCCAGTGGCTGTCAGCAGCAATGGGCTCTTTTGTGCCATTGTGCTGCTCTTCCTCATGCTCCTCTTTGTCATCATCTCCATTGCTTCCTGTAAATGGAAGATGAATAAGGTGCTGGGTTTCACCATGTTCCTCCTCTACTTCATCTTCTTGGTGCTCAGTGTTATGTTGGAAGATCGTATCATCATCTGCCCAGTTTCCATCTAATTCTTTCTGCTGAACTGTTAACCTTTTTGGGAAAGGATCTCACGAGCATAGACCTGGATATCTATAGGAAACATTCAGAAAGCTACGTGCTCTGCATTGTTACCAGTGAAGTGTCTGGTATGTCAGCAGCAATAAAGCGTTTTCTAGAACCTGATACTCACTTATAGAAATGATGGCAGCTTTTAAATTGATTTTCATAGTACACGGGGAGATGCATGACTACTATCTAATACAGTGTAGATTTTGCGGTGTAAGACCTAACAGAGATGTTAATGGGTTTTTTATGCACTGTCTATGAAATGCAAGTAAAAGTGTTAGTTTGTGGACACATTTTGAAAAATGTGGGCTACTAAATGTGTATTTTGTATCATCGTAAGTAAATGATTTTGTAAGAATCATGATAGAGACCCTGAGCTTGCTTGAACTTTTTTTTTCAAAAATCATGAAAAATCATTGAAAAAATAAAAAATAAATCAAACACGACATCCATAGAATAAATGTCTTTATTCATAAATGAAGTCAAACTATACATCCACCTAAGGAAGAAATTTCATTTCTTTTTTTTTAAATGTAAAAATCATACAAATCAGTATCTGTGTTACAAATGATAAATAATACATTGGAAACATTGTTAAAATTGACACTTAGTGTAAACAACACATAGACATAAAATTATGTTTTGGTCATTCAGTTTGTTTGTTTTTTTACCCAGACTTTTTTTTTTACAAGTTGGCTAAAATACTGGTCTACATGCTGTGAGATTGGTGTTTTATTTCAAGCACACAGACTTATATAATCCAGCATTGTATCATCAGTTACTGCAAAGTCCAGCAATAAGCTGTGGAGCTGCATCACTCCAGGTTTTTTGTCAGTTGATCGTGAAAGAGTGAACTGTCAAACTTGTGTTTTAAAGTGATTTCTGAATGAGGGCAGGTCGGAGCTGTTTTTCAAGTCCAAGAAATGCCTTTGACATCTATATATCTTTAAATATTCTCAGTGCAAATAAGCCTGCACTACCGTCTGTTCCAAGACCGGTTAGTATAAGTGGGTAAAACATCCATCAATACTCTGTATGTCACACTAAACAGTGCACTGTTGTCCAAATATCTAAAACATCGACACCATACATTGAAGACAAAAAGAAAATATACAAAATTCTAGAGTCAAATGCTCTGTACATTATTATGAACCCATTAGTGTGACTCAAAGTCTTTATAAAAGAAAATGTTGACAGAAAACATTTATCTCCTTTTGATTGATTGTACTGTTTTTAAGGAAATCCATCCTTGCAAAATCACATTTAACACAAAATTTTAATCATCACTTTAAAAAAAGATATTGCCTAAAAAAAAACCCCAAACTGTAAATTAATGAATTATATAATATTCCCTTTTGGGATCTTTTGGTACATTGTACAAAAACAAATAAACATTGTGCATATAAATTAACTGGCTCCATTCTTGAATCAGAAACAATTTTGTGGTTTATAATTTTATGAGGTTACAACCTAGTTTAGTGTATTTCAGTATATGAGTTTAATCTGTCTGCTTTATGAGGTGTACATGAAGAGGAAGTGATTTGCCTTTACAAACTTGAACCTGTGGAATTTTTAGACAGAACCATGACTAATGTGTGCGTGGCAGAGACACAGCCCCATGTAAATGAGAACAAATGGCAAGTGCTCATCTTATCAAAGTGCTTTGTAAAAACATGAACGTCTAAAAGTACACACAGTCAACAACAGTCTTAACAAGGTCACCAGGACCACTGAGGAATTTCGACGAGGTGAACTTACACTTACTTGTACCTACTTATTCACAGCTTCAACAGTAACAGAGGCATAAAGTAGACCGTGTAATAACTGTGCAAACATTTATACAGAAAATATCTTCAAAGTATTTACAAATACAAGGCCTGTCACTTCATGCCTCTCAGCTCTGACAGTTTTTGAGAAACTCATGGCAGTTGCATTATGTTAAGTCCCATTGTGCTTACAAGAGCTTAATGCTCCAGTCAGATGAGCTGGTCCTGAGTCTGAAGAGCAGTTTGAAAAAAAAACCAAACAAACAACAACAACAGCAGCAGTGACTGTTGGAGGGAGGAAAAAAAGCGACAGAAGGGGGACAAGAGGTTCACAAACCGGGCTGTCCAAATGTCCTCCTACACTCCATGACCCCTGCTCCAGGGGGCCGGTCACAGTTGTGTGTCAGTTTAACCAGGTTGGGGGTGAGGCGATCGTATGCCAGCTTGTACTCGCGATCGAAAGCACCTGCAGGAGAGATAATGGTAAGTTAAGAATCTGTCAGCACGCTTTCTTTATATAAAATCTTTTATATCCATTAGCCACAAACAGCAGGCATTTGAGAATATCGGCAGAAGAATCTACAGTCTTCTAGCTAGCTGTTCTATTGTAGATGGTCAGAGAAATGCTTTGGGTTAGGTGGTACTAAAACTGTGTTATGTGGATATATTCAAACACTTTAATCTTATACTTTGTACAGAGTACAAATGAGGCTCGTGTATTGCATCCAAGATGGCTGTTTACAAAAAACTTTGTACAGGATATGTGAAAAAAGAAGAAGAAAAAAAAAAAACACCCGATGGAGTTACACAAAATGTCAGGGCATCATTAAAGCCATCAAGAGTCATTATTACATATTTGGACAAAAGCAGTGGACTGACATTTCCAGTCCTGCTAAAATAACTAAAAAAACTAAAATATCCATGATCTGAACTTACTGATATTAATGTTGTTCTTCCCCAAAGCCACCAGAGCAAGGAACAATAAATCTCTGTAGAGACTCCTTTTTTGGGAGAGAAAAGAAAAGCAATGAGATTTTCCATTCATATGATTTTGCCGGTGTAATTTTACTCATCACACACCTCTTTATTTACTTACCTCTGTCTTTTAAAACCTAACTCAGGCCCCAACAGCTGAATGATCTGGCTCATGGGCTGATGCACATCACTCTTCTTAATGCTCCTCACGAAACCCTGCAGGAGCTCCACAGTGAAGAGTTGGCCTTCTTCACATAACCCGGAGCGAACCAGCGAGTTGGCACCTGCGAAGAGGGAGAGATTAAAATCACTGCGATCAAAGGTTCATTCATCTCATTTCTCTCATTAACAGATGAGAGAAATGAAGAAACGAAGTCTGAAAGCGTGGCTCACTGATAAGATGACTTGATTAATAGGTTTCCTGAGCTGAATTATGCATGATCTACTAGTTGTTAATATGCATTGTTTCATTTGCATGTAAATATCTGACCTTACCGGGAAAATAATTTTCTGGAGGTAGCCCGATATCACCTTTTCTAATTTATTGCACTATAGTCTGTGAAAGTAAACATTGTATTAACTTACAGTGGGTGTTCCACAGGACGTAGCAGGGTTGAACTTTGTCTTGGTGCAACTTCAAATTGTCCCACATAATCCTCACGAGAACCTGCTTGCTGTCCTCCGATGACAGCATCTGAGGAGTCTGAAGGGGACAAAATACATTAAAAAGATGAATTCATTATTGCATTGTCCTCTGTAGGCCCAAGTCGTGTTATGGTTTCATGCATTATATTTTGTTAGTTTTGATTTTTAATAACAACACTAGGAGTCACCAAAGTCCCAAATAATTTTCTGAGCTTTAGAAGTGCCAGTTGGTACAAACTGTTTCTGCTTGCCTTAGCGCTTGGTTAAGCTAATGAGCTACAAGATCTAGTTGCTGATGGCACACGGGATGACATCATTAAAGTATTCTGCGTGGGTGACAGGCTGTCATATTTACCTGGTCTTCATGGCTACAGTGTTGGGAGCCCAGGATAAGAGCTGGCAGGTTACTCGGCAGGTCGAGCCTTCTGAAGTACCAAACAAGGTTCCAGAAGACAATGGGATGTTGGTCAACAATGCTTGGGGAGGAGATTGCCTGGTCGCCCTCATTCACTAACAGGCTCTCCAGCTCCTTCCACAGAACCAGAGGGCTCAAGTAGGGCACTGTTACAGGAGCAGAAGCAGAGGAGCAGGAAGAGGAGGAGGACGAGGATGAGGCTGGGGCTTGGCCAGCACCCCCACTGCTCTCCCGCTTCTGTGCAGGAGCTGCAGATGCCTCAGCTGCACCGTCTGTTGTGGAGATTTTTTCCTCGGGATTGGGTGGCAGTGATGTATCCTCCTCTTTAACAGGATTGCTTTTCTTAGACGACCTGATGAGAGACAGAGAGTGGATCTGTTTAAATGGGCCACGGGGATAAAAGATGTTTTGTCTGTGTGCCTCAGTGCTCTTTGTAAAAAGAAAAAAAAAATGTTCCAGACAATTAGCAAGATACTATAGAAAAAGACAATCTAGCACAATGTTGTAACTGAAAATAGCCCAAATTGATGGCTTTAATTATTCAAAGTGTTTGAGCTGTCTTTGTAAGCATAGTGTGCTGTGTAAATTTTACCTGCTGTGCGGTCTCAGATCTTTGATTTCCACATTGAGAAAAGGCAAGAAGGCAGTGCCGCAGAAAGGACAAGTGCTGTTGAGGTTTGAGTCATTTGCCGTCCATCCTGCCATTATCTCCTCATCATACACCAGACAGTCACATGTCTTACAAAGTGAACAGCTAGACATCAACACCTATAAAAGAAAGCGTCAGGTTCAGAAAGAAACCATCACACTGCCTGAGCGAGCCTACAGACAAGAGGTGGACTGGGACTGTTATGTGCTGGTGCCTTACCTCTACGGTGTAATTGGGAGTGGGTTGGAAGCGGCCGGTGTCGGGGGAGGAATCTGGAGTGTGAGGAGTTTTGGAGGGAAGTGCCAAACCACCTGGATACAGTGGAGGATTATACAATCAGACACAGAACGCAAAGCCAAGACTGAACACAGCTGTCAAAGCTTTAAATGTCTGGATGAAACTAAGAAAAAGTGCCCAGCTGAAACAAAGCAGCAATTACTTTATTAAAATCTGCAATGAGCGTTTGCATTTGTGCCGCAGGTTTAGTGAGCCTGTGTCTCTGCTTGTGTGCACGTGATTGTGCATGCACGTGTACATGTTGAAGTGTGTTTAGCATAGGGCCTGTGGCTGGGTGCAGAAAAACCTACACACTGCATCATCCCTCACGCCTGCTGGCCTACTTTCCAATAGAACAACACCCAACTCTTTCCATCACTGAGGCCTACTCTTACTCTAAATTTAGACTGCCAAGAAGTGTTTTCATGCAAACCAGCACAATGCTGCAGTTATAATGAGCTTGTAACAACAAAGCTTTAAGCCATGAGTTTTTTAGATTAGAGCTGCTTTTAGCAGGAAAGGGACCTGATTTAATTGACTTTGTTGATCATCCAGTGTAAGTATTAGTAACTTTGTAAAATAACAATGTAACACGCGAAAATAAAAGCTTCACTACAACAATATTTATTAAAAGATGTGGAACGAACCAGAAAAGGAGTTGTGTCTGAACACTCTGTTTGGGGTGCCAGGGCTGCCCAGGTTAGTATGATGATGCCCAACGGGGCTTCTCCTGACTCGGGACACGCTACCATGCTGTGGGGATGTAAATCCATCTGGATCTAGACAGGAGTCATTATCAAGCAGCGAGGAGCAATCGGCCTCTCCTGAGGTCAGTGAGGACACACTCATGCGGTCACAGTTTGCGTCCTGCAGGAGGCAAAAAAGGACTGTAACTATTTTCATCCTAGAGCCAGTAATCCCAAATATGCATGAATTATTTATATGTTAAAAAAAATTCTAACCTGTGTTAGTGAAGTTTGAGAGGACAAACGAGAGTAGAGACGACTAGCTTTCTCAGCCACACCCTTTCCTGCTGATATAACGCTGCTCTTGAAGATGTCGAGAGTTGGGGTGAACAGTGTTTCCATGGAGAACGATGAAGTGGAAGGAGTGGGTGATGACGGTGAAACCAAAGAGGGAGGCCTCTCTCTGTCTTTGTTACAAATACCAAGAGGAAGAGATGGTGAGTGCCTCAGCCTCTCCTTTGTTTTGGCAGGCAGTGGGAGGTGTGTAGTGGATCGAACTAGGGTTGAGGATTGCGGGGAGGAGTGGGGAGAAGAGGCTGAGCGGAACAAAGGGCTTGAGGGGTTCTGCAGGTCCATACTGGGCGTGCGGCTGCTCAAGGGGCTGTTGCCATTATTCATGTACGTTTCAATCTCCTCGGCCAGGTTGCGCCTAGAGTTGGATGCACTGCTGTTGTCATGGTCACATTCCTGTACGGTCGCTGTTGCCATCAGCGACAGGGGATCAAATCCCATCTCAATACCTGTCCTCCTCACTGTCCCGGCATTGCAGATAACGCCGGCCCTCTCCACTGGGTGTTTCTGTTTATCAGTCTCTGTGACCTCTTCCTCTACTTCATGCAGTCTGTCAGATGCAAGGTGAAGCTGCTTTGATGTACTTAGAATGGGGACACTGAGCCTCAGAGTTCCCTGTCCAGCAGACAAGTCCAGAGAATTTGGCCTCTCTGCCTTTGGCAAAGCTCCACTCAGAAGAGTGTCACTAGATGGACTGGAAGCCAGCCTGAGGCCACTGCCTGTGACAAAAACACATTTGAAAACATTCAGCTGAACGGTACATAGTGGTTATACGCAGTAATAAAACGACTTCTTGAGAGTCTGCTTTATAAATAAAACATTGCTGTGTTAGCATCTTTTGATGTGGAGGTGCTGGGAGAAAGAATGGAACCTCCACATCAAACGCTGCAGTTTTGAACAACACATAGATTGAGAATGAACACTAAAAGGCATTTTTGTGCGTTTTTGGCTAGTCCACTGAAATCTGTGGCAGTATTGTGCTCTTGCATTATTCTAAAATAAAAAATCCTGTTAGATTTGAATGAATTGTTGCTGGTGTTCTACTGTTCATGCCAACATGAAGCTGCTGCAGGGACGAGGAGGAAGGGAAACTGGCAGCTCTGCGGTTCCTTAAGGGATATGTGTTTATCTTACAATACAGCTGTATTGCATTTTAAGCCAAAAGTAAAAAGTTATTAAGGCTCTGATAAAATGCCACGCCAATTACAGAGGACTACTGATTATGAAGACTGAAAAACTAGAAAAACAACACAAAGTCAGACACCGCATGTCATGATTTGCAACAAAATTCAAGGCAAAAGTCATCTGCTTTCATAACACGTTTATCCATCAGCAGACTGTTTTTTTTTAAAATGAGAAACACCTAAATTTAACAGCAAATGGACAAGAAAAAAAAAACACATTACACCCACAGCCAAATGTGATACCCCCATCTTTTAAAGGCAAAGCATCCATTTTGCAGTGAGCTGTGAGTCACTTTTGCAGAAATAGTCCCCCAGTGTCAAAGATACGACATAAAAGCAATCCATAACTCACTTGACTTGACTCCTTTGTCTTCCACCAGGGCTGTGCCATCACTCTCTCTGCTGCACAATCTCTCTTCCTCCTTAGACAAGGAATCATAGCCTTGGTCTGACTGTTCACCTGAAAAAGATAAGGAGAAATCACTCCGCTGACGCTTACTTTTTAAATGTCCTCTCACTGGTGTTTTGTTTCTTCCTCGAGTGAATTAGAATTTGTTCCTATTAGTCTCCATGGAAGCTTTATATGAGACAACTGATCAGAGAGTTTTTGTTTGCAAGCGCTTTGTGTCATTCCCTTCAGCATGAAGCACACAAAACACCCAGAATAGAAAAGCAGGGGCACCAGAAAAGGAACAGAATATTTTTATAAAAACTTCATTATATTCACAAGGTCAAATATCAGGAGACAGTACAAGTGTGTACAGTACAAAGAATTTGTTCACTTTCAGTAGTTTGATGGGACAAGTTGTGCCAGATGATATTGTTAGCGCAAAAGCTTTGGTCTTTTCAGCTTTGGTACTTGTCTTAGCTGCAAAGATGTGAGCTAACAAAAGAAACATGCCTACCTAACGCTATCCAACATAACACAATTTTCCCCAACCCCACCCCTACCCCCACCACCACATATTACAGAGCAGACTTTATGTAAGTGCTTGTTCCTTGGCTTTTACATTTGCATTTTCCCCAATCACTTAAAATGCAATTTGAATGCAATTTGCCTTTAATGCATAATTCAAAGATTTATTATATGTATTTATTTATGCTTTTGACTGGGCTGGTTTAAAAGCAGCAGAAAGTTTTAAAAGTTATATTTAAAAGCAAGAGTAAGAAAGCAGCTACACAACAAACTGCCACCACATCTCCATCTACGTTATGCCTTCTTTCTCTTATCCATGCCTGAATGGACCCTACCACCAGCCGAGGGTGGGCAAGCTGAACAAAAAGGATATAAAATGTAAATAAATAACAAAAGGTATCACCTGTTATTTGCTTACATGCTGAAAGGTACCTATAATACGGCACATGCAGCACACATATTGTATATCTATGTATTTAGCAGAGTGCCTTTGACTACACATCCCCTTTATTCCCTATTGCTTTCACACCATTAAGTAAATAATCAGGGATCAAACTATCCTTGATCCTTGCACCTCACCATCCCTAGCATCTAACCAAGGAGGAAAAAACAAGACACGACACAACCACTACAGAGATTATCGCTCTGATTACCCTGAATATTTCCATAATATCAAAATAAACAACAAAAACAGCTCTCTGATATAAGTCAAGTACATCAGGTATGGGAAAAACCAACAGTGAAAACGGTGAACCTTTTATCACACCTTAATACTGGAGTCTTTCATATATTAGTTTGTGTAAAATGACTGACAGAAAGTCAGTGCAGATGAATAATTAAGGTTTGAGATTCATGATGTTCTGCCACTTTTAAGGCAGTTAATTCAATCACATCCCATCAATCAGAGAGACATGAGGGAAAGTAAAAGGCTGCACGTAAAATAGATGGAATGAGAACGACATAGGGCAGTAGCTCTCTACCTGTACTAAATCCATCATCGCTGGAGTCCATTTTAGTGAAGTCGGTGTCGATGGAGGTGCGCTCAGCAGAGTCATTAGCGCTGTCCAAACTGCCATGGCTGACTGTGTCTAGATCGCTGCCGTCTAAAGGGAGATAAGAGCAGAGAGAAAGGGGATGAGAGAGGCTTCACAAATGACAGACTACCAACAGGATTATGAAACCAGAGCTGCACTCACACTATACATGAGCGATGTATAAACCCTCACTGAACTGTGTTGCAATCATTATCATCTGCAGCAAACGCAGGAATGTTCTGAGTGCCGCAGCATCAACCAGCGCTAAAAGATTTATCTATTTTACCTCAAAGTGAATGAATCGCATTAAAGTATAATGTAACTTGAATTTTGCTCAAGACCGAAGATGCACTTAATGTGATCGTGTTTTTATTTTGGGAATTTAAACGTTTAAAATGTTAAGTTAAAATATGTGCAGCTGGGAAAAATGTCGTATCAAATGGTGTAAAGCACTACTTTTTCATTAAAGCCTATCACTCAATATGTCATTATGGTAATGAGGGTCTCTGTGGGTTGTTGTTTGAGACTGAGATCAAAAGGAATCTGTATACTTTGACTGCCAGGGAGGAAAGCCTCTTCACTTTGTTTAAAAGGTTTCAAAAAAAGCAAGGTAGGGAACCAGGATCAGACTATGTCGCATGAATTCATAAAGCAATTAAAGTAACTAAGAAGAAAATACACCATTGATGAAGTCAGGAGTAATTTTCTGTAAATTTGAGGCAGTCCAAAACATCTTAAAGCCTCACTGGGCTCGAGTGTAAAGCAGTCACTACTAGTTCTACTTTTGACTACAGAACTGCCTTAATCGGAGTTCTAAGGAACCATTCCTCAGAGATGTTATTTGACATGATAGTATCACACAGTTTCTGCAGATTTGTTGGCTACACATCCATGATAAGAATCTCCCATTCCACTAGATCCCACCAGTGCTCTGTTGGATGGAGATCTGGTGACTGTGGCTGCCATTTGAATACAGTGAACTCACTGTCATGTTCAAGAAAGC